TCGTCTGACCTCTACTCATTGATACTCATGATAAGATCCCCGGGCTTGACAAAAGCCATCCTGTTTAGCTCGTTGGGTCAAAGAAGTGCACAAGCCATCACACCACGTCAAGGCGCAGTCTCGTTGTGATAGTTTGGTGCACGTGAGACCGAGCATGCGGTTTGCGAAACCGAGATAAGCAACCGTGTACTTGAAAATGATTCCGTGAAAACTTTTTACTTCACCGAAATCAGGCAAGTAGGTTTTGCTGGGAACGGCACGTCTCACGCATGTCTAGGTGCTGTCTAATGCATCGAGCTTTATTCACAGTTGATGCTCCATGGTGGAGAAAATGACTTGGAGATCAACAAGTGATGTGGAGAAGAAATTCGAGCAAATACACTGAGCGATAAGCCAGAATAGGTGTCTCCCGTTATAATATATTCCGTTACTGGAGACACTGAAGGATACAGTAATAAACCGCTTGCAGTGGTGTGCTTGTTATTAGGCTTGAGAAGGAATGTCTGTACAGTTAGTGTACACTACTATATGTTAACTACAATGACCCTTTTCCCATCATCCCTTAGAACAGACAAACTTCCCAACCACCCTACACACTCGTTTTCTTTAGTGGGTTGCATTATCTCATGTTGATCACTGCACCAGTTTCCTGTGCTGCGCGCAAGACTGGTTTTCTACCCTAGGCCAGAGAAACTTTCTTCTTCTTTTGTTACAGCTTAGATACAGCTCACTATTGACTTCTTCAATTAATCACGTGTGATGTGGAGTTTCGTTATCATGCCTATACTCGTGAGGTCTGATTCAACAGGAAGCCGTTTGTTTTATCGACGACCCGATCCTCACTTTCAACTCAGTTCCTAGCCCATTGCCTGGAAATTGCTTCCTTGTCCTTCTATAACCGTTATTACTCTTAGATTGATTTAGTTCTGCCTGTATCCTTAGTCCTTCACAATTAGTCAGTCACCGGTTTTTATTCTTCTTAAAAGATTCTGAAACAACCCGAATCTGCCTTCCCTTGCTTATTCTCCTGACCTTTTCAAAAGCACAATCAACATCACCCGAAGGCCCTCTCTCACTTACTTCATTGTTTTTATTGCAAGAATAACCTGTTTTTACCACCGAAACCCGTACCTGTGTGATAAATATATTACTTGTCTCTAGCCGACTTTATAAAGACATCATATCATCTGAATTCCCTCAAACGAGGTTCACACAAAACAATTGCATCCCTTAATGATCCACCATTTAGTTCAACTTATTGAATTGTTTATTTAAATGGCTTTGTTAACACCCATGCCGTGGCTAAACTATCGGATGGAAAGCATGGTTTTGACTAAAACGATATCCGTCACTCTGTTAGCAGAAGAATGGTCGTGCGCTTCCCATATGGTAGTTGCCATTAAACCACTATTTTTCTCTTGTACTTTGTGTATTTTATGAATGACACACTTTATTGAGTAGGTCCAGTCAAACGAAAAACAAACAATCGATCGTTTCTACACTTGATTGCCCCTTGAACATTGTTGATCATTTAGCGAAATTATATCTGTAACGCTAGGCACAATGCTGGAGAAATGCGTTCTCTTCAATGACCAAACACGCCGTTCGCACTACCATAGAACTGTTTGAATGCATCTGTTTGGGTACGGATACTTTTCATTTGATTGTTTGAATGCAAATCAATATAGTTTGATCTCAATGAGCGATTCCCGATAAACACCACAATTCTAGCCATGTTAGAAGATGTACCAGTTGTTCTCTAGCCTCTCACCCACGGCGTACGAACGTGGACTCGTAAAAACTCTGTTCCATCGAATCAGAAGCATTTCTTACCCTGATACACCACAAGAAGAACTCCTGAAGAAAACGTTGCTACGAAACGGTTACCCCGAAAGATTCAGTGATCTTCATAGTAAGCAATCTTAAAAGAGTAACCCATCGCCAACTGTTCCCCAGAAAGCCGTTTACATCAAACTATCTTTTAAGGGCGATCACCTTTGGAACGATGCGCGCCAAAAGTTAAAGTTAGCTCTCAACCGCACATTCCCAGATGCTAAACTTCGACTAATTGCCTCTACTCGTGGAATCGATTTGGACAGACGTGTACATGGTTGGTAATCCAATTCTGTCCCACACACTGTATACCCGTTCACCTGTAGTTGCGGTGACGCATACAGAGACAGAACCAACCGCCAGTTATCACAGCGGATGGCCGAACACATCCCAAAGTGGTTGGTGAAGTCGATGACGCAACCCAAACCCAGTAATCAGGCGGTCACACGTAAACCGGGATCATCAATTGCAAAACACCTTATGACAACCAAACACAGTTGATCCCGCTTCCTCCTTCAAACCGTTGTTACGTAACTGCAATGCAAAACTGTGGGCAATAAGTGAGGCATTGCTAATCTGATTACATAATCCCGTTCTGTGCGCCCAAAAGTTGTTGATCCAGTCTGTCCATTTGCCGTGGAGTTGACCTATGCTTTTAATTTTAATGGCCCCTGCTTAACTGTATATGTCCGTTCACTAGGATTTACAAATTCAAAGTGCTTGTTTGTTTTACGTCAGCGATTGAAAACTAAACGAAATTTTAACATCTCACGATATCTTTCGGTCTTAATACAATGGATAAAGGGGACCCAGTGTTTCAAGTAACTATACATTGACCATCACATTGAACAGCTTCACCTTTTCTATCATTAAATCCGCCTGCACACAAGTGGTCTTAAACGACAGGGGAATCTGAGGCACCTTCAATTTGTCTTATCTGGAGGGGGGCTGAGGACACCTGGCCAATATCTAGCAGGAGGGTGGTTCGAGTTCACGATGCGAATAGCGAGAATTGGTGACGGTACAAATATTCAAGTATCAAGCGAAGAAATAATTAACTCAATGAAATATTCGAGTAAAGGATACATAAGACCATCACAATTCCCGTTTCGGCAACAAACTGATAATCTGATCCAGGATAAATGAAGGCTTTCTAGAACAGAGACGATAGGGAAACAAACGGAGAACTCACTATTTCCCCTTTTGGGGTTGCATGTAAGAGTGGCGGTCCTCGAATTTGGTTGTAAACCTGACCAGATATCGCACTAAATATCACAGCCTGAAGAATACAAAGAGGGCAATATAAAGTGATACACACATAGTTACGATATCCTTGGTGGTCGAGTAGTTTAGATCATCAAAATAGCGGCATGGTAAGCCTAAGTTCGAATCCAGCAATCTAATCAGTTTTTGTATCATCATCATCATCTAGTCAGTTTCTGTAATTCCCCAGGCCGCCTTTTATGGTCGCGCCCCACCTCTTCTGAAAATTGAATGCATATTTGTGTACTCAATAAATAAAAAGATAAATTAAATTACTTATATAATCTTACTCATGATAATCAAGAAATCAGAGTTAAACGGTTAAGCAAACCAACAAATCAATTTTGTTCTTCGTGTTTTCAGGAATCGTTTTTCTACATTGTTCACTCTTCTACATGAACCATCAATGTGATGAACAGCACACGGAGTGAACTCCATGGCCTGTTGTTCATTGTTGGAAACCGGTAACCTCAGCTCGGGGGGCTTCGAGTTCTGCTAGGTTAGGCACGGTATTGAACCAAATGACAGCACAACCACCTGCCTTCCCCCCTGTATATATCACACCGCCTTGCAAATAAGCATTGTCAACAATAACAATGAAAGTGAAATGTAAACACTTGGGTGCATATGGGGAAACGACAAAAAGTTGAACAAAAACGACAATCGAGGGAATCTACCAACGCGAACGAGACCGAGGACATTCTTAGTTTGTTTAAGTTTTCTGATGAGACCAATTCCGACGATTGTAAACGAAGTTTGTCATTCACATTCGGGTAATATGTTTAATAGTTCGACATTGCCCTTCCAGTTGTAGTGGATCAACTCTGAGAAGAGGTATTATATTTTGATCGTGAGATGATAACCGATTTCCAACAACAGTGTAAGGAAGAAAACCCAACATCCGGAGCCATGACTGGTTCGGTGAATCCCTGGCAGTTTACCTAATGGAGTTGCTTAAAAACCCTGATACAAAATAGTCTGAGAAGAGGGGTAAGAACCACAAACCTTACTGCTTTTGATAGTGGTACCTTGGGTGTTTGAGTCAGTCCGAAGGGCGAATAATCCGATGAACTAGCTCTCCGATATTAGTGGGTTGCCATTTTAGCACACTGTCCCACGTTCTTGCAGGTAAAGATTTGGCTAGCAAAAGCCTTCGGATGTGAACTCACCGTATAAAACCTTTATTCTTAGACTGGTAGTATTCCACCCACTAGCAAATCATGAACGTATTTTTCTAAACTATAAATATTATTGTACCGTGATTTCACATTTGTCTCAATTACTTGTGAGTAGTTGTGTGGGGCAAGTGATACTGATTTGAACTGATCACTCTAAAATAGTAGAAAATATGACTTACCAAAGCGAGCATGCACCACAATGAAGGATTATACAATCCATCTAAACTAATTTTTCTAGACCACAGTGCAACGGCGCCGATAATCATGAAGAGACTGAGCAGCAGTACGGCCGAATAGCTCGGTGGACGAACAAATCGAATCTAAACCATCGACTATTCCGAGAAAAAAATGTTACCAAACCTACTCTTATTTTGGTTCGAGCGTGGACCCAATCTGCTATTGCATTTGCAGAGAAACCGCTTCGGTGAATGTCCATGTAGTCTGACGGCTGAAGCTTATAAACAGAAGCCGAAGGTGAAATATGCACAAAAGCCGGTGCGCTATCTTGTTTCAGCTGAACAATTAATATGAATGGAATGGGAATAATTACTATGGAAAAAATTTCCCCCGCTGCATCAAAATCTGCCACAGCAAAGAAAATACTATTCGTCCAGCTTGAAGAATATCGCCAGGGAGAGACCAGCATTTTCAGTTCGTTATGCGCCTCACTTTAGGAGTAACAATGATCAGAAACAACTTACCGACACGGTGGACAATTTCGTTGCGGACTCAATGCAGTTAACAGCAGTAGTACCGAGTAGTTTCTGGGTTTGGAGGCCACAAACTCTTCAAATGTTGCCATGTTCAAGTTGATTATGGGGTTTTGTGCAGTCATAGCGGTCAACTTGCTCACTTTATTCTCTAGGATCTAATGGACATAGAAAAATCCATAAGAACACTCACATCGGATCCGAGGGCTGTTCCAACGTAGAACAACACGCAAACGAAAATCCACATTTTTGTGTTTTTATTCCTGAAAAGTATCAACAGTAGTGGACAACAAATGAATGGATGGTGTACGATTTTTTTTATCACACACCTAGGTGTGATGAACAGCAGACGGGGTAAACCCCATAGTTACAGGGACCTGCTGTTCAGTGGTTGAAATCGGCCCCGGAACTTGGAGTGGCGAACCACATAAGGCCCCGATAGGTTAGGCGTGCTATTGAACCGGACGACAGCAGAACGGCCTACCACTGTCACCCTGCGCGTTCTCTACATAACAAATGTTTTACATCCTTTCAATGTTAAAAGCAATCTAATGCTCAAATTAAATTGTACAACCCGGTATTACACACCAATGATGGATAGATTTCACGGTTTTATTGATAATCAAACTCATAATCACACTCAGGACTCCGACAAGTATGGAATAAATTCAGTCCTTCTTTGGACAAGCGGACAGAGCACATAAACCACTCAACGGAAATAAAAGTGGTACCAGCATAGCTTCAGATACCTTACCCATCATAAGGAGACTGCACCTTGACGTGATGTGATGGATTGTATGCCCCCAAGACGCGGCGAGCTCTATAAGATGGCTCCCGAGTAGTAGACCCAATCATGCATGAGATGTCAATGGGTAGAGGCCAGAAAAGCTGTCTCATAAGGCCAGCTGCTTGGGCACCTCCTGGCTTCCTCTGACTATCTACTCTCGCCCGTGGTGGTCATTAAAGCAAATAAAGATCAGAAAGGGCAGTCTATCGGCCAAGAAAGATCAACTAGAAGGACATAGGAGCGGGGTACCTGCGGCTTCCTCTTGACGACAGGGCAAGAGCTAAACGCGCTGCGGGGTGGTGGTGTAGATGAACAGTGAGATCAGATTAGACAACTAATGCAGTTTCAGTTTCAGTTTTACAACCATTAACCATGCACTTTCGTGCGCCGGTTTTGGATGCTGTCTTTTGGTTGCCCATTTGGATAAAAGAGCGAAATGAAGAT